TGGGAATTGCGACAGTATCTGCGGCCATGTTCAGCCCATGGGGTTCTTTAGATATCTTTCGGTGGACCTCCAATTACGGGCGAGACGAGGATTTGCTGCGGCTTGTCACCCCAGGATTCGCGGACTGCCTACAGTATATTCAATTTGTGGTTCTAACCGGATCGTTAACTCTGAATTACCCGGGGTTCTATCAGCCTATTGTAAGCAGGGCGGCATGGTCTACTCTCATGTTCAACGAAAGCTTCGTCAGCCATGGAAATGGAACCCAGCCTGTTCAGGATGGAGTGTATGTTGTCAATGCAACTTATGGTTTGGATCGAATGGCCCACCTGGTCGGCATGACGTCGGTCAGGGACGTATGGTCTGGAATGGTAATTTGGCTTCTTGTGATTCTTGCAAGTGTCGTTGTAATAATCCAGCTTGGGTTCGGTCTACAATGGCTACACCACCAAGTCGCCCGTGTACCAGAAGAAGATCTTCGCGCCAAGAACTTCCCTTTCACCATGGGCAACGTTATTCGCATCATTTTCAACTATTTTCTTTTGCCAATCGTGTCATTATCCATGTTCCAGCTGGTGGTCACTCGCCATTCCGCTATTTCCACAGTAGCTTTGGCTGTCGTCCTTCTTGTTGGGTTGATTGGATTTGCTGCTTGGCTATTGATCCTCATTACCCGAACGCGTCCACGGTCGTATATGTTTGACGATCTTCCAACAGTTCTACTTTACGGCTCTTTGTATAATACATTTTCCGATGGTGCTGCCGCTTTCTCTGTAGTATCCGTTCTTCTCACATTCGTTCGTGGCATCGCGATCGGAGCCGTCCAACCTTCAGGGATTGCACAGATTGTGCTCCTAGCGATCTGTGAAGTTGTCCTGCTACTGACGTTGTCCGCGTTCCGTCCCTTCCCGCAGCCGACAGCTATGAATCTCTATCATGCGATTTTCTCTATCATCCGCTGTTTAACGATGCTCCTATCTGTTGCGTTCGTTCCATCGCTGGGTGTCGGCCACGCGGCGAGGGGCTGGATTGGTTACGTTATCCTTCTATTGCATGGGATGGTTTTAACTTTTGGATTCTTCTTGAATGCAATTCAAACTTTGGTTGAAGTACTTGCTCGTCTTGCTGGTGCTGGTGGCGAGGGTGGAGTGGAGGGCGGTGCGGCAAGGGGCGGTCTTGTAAAGGTCTGTATTTCCCATTGGAATGGATCCTACCTGTTCAAAGGAATGCTAGGGTAAATTGCCAGGCGTATTAGAAGTAATTTTGCTCATGATTTTGCCAACAGGTCTTTGGAATGCGCCAACTTTCTCGCAGAGTCCCGCGAGGACCTCGCCATGTTCCTCGTCATAGCAGCACCTCGGAAGCAACAATGTTAGGCTCGGATCATGGAAGAATGTCAACCCACCTAGACGCTGAGAGAGCTCGAAGCTTTTCTGGTAGTTCAGCACTCTTGTTGAGCCGGTCTGCAGCTGCCGAGAACAGGGTGAGCGCTGGCTTCGAAGCGAGTAGCCTTTTTGGAGTGGGCCATCATCGCCAGGGAAGCGGAACCGCACCGTACACACCTACCACTCCGGGGGGTATCTCACATTTCGCGTTCCCTGGCCAATATTCGGGGGGCAGTGGGTCACCACGCAGCGCCTTGGCTAGCCTAAAGCATTCAGATAACATTGGCCCTTACTATCGGCCCCCTAGACGGCGGCGAGCCACATTGGACGGAATGTCGTCTCGCAGCCGCACTCACACATTATGGACTAGTGGCGATTGGACTAAACGACAGTCAGGCAGTAATATCGACGGTGAGGGAGTTCATACGAATGACAGTACCCCAGTCGCCGGGAGCAATACACCAGTTCCAGCTTACCTTGGGGCATCTAGGGATGATTCGGATGTAGACATGGACGAACCGGGCCGTCCAAGGACTGACTATGCTGTCCGGGAGGTAGACTTTTATTATCGCGTTCGAGGTCCTGCGCTTTCCCATTCTGCAACCCGAAAACTAAAAACTGGCCCTGCCGACCCGACTGGTCCAGTATCGTCTGCCACAGGCTGGTTCCGCGAACTCTTCCGCGGTAAAACAAGGGATAAAGGGAAAGGTTTCGAAGTCGTTCGCAGCGCCAGAGCCCCCCCGCCCGGATTGATACCACATACTGAGGTCGGCGAGCCGTTCCCGGAACCGTATCAGGATGAGCCTGATACCTCGAAGAATGCTGGTTTGGGTGTAGCCCAACACACCCGTAGTATATCGGGAGCACACAATAGTTCCGAGAAGATAACTAGATACGAGCCAAAAATAGCAACTGAACAACCCGCCCCTACGTTACCTCCTATCGAAGCAAGTGAAGCTATCGAGCTCCCACGCCGAACAAGCTCAAAGAGTGATGCGCAAGGAAATTTCCTCATACTGCCGCCCACTATTCCCCGCAAAAGCTCCAAACGACACTCCTCAGTCGTACCGACATACCTAAAATTCGAAGCAGGGGCAGGGGCAGGGGCTGGGGCTGGAGCTGAAAATGGCGTCGAAATCATTCCCCCTGAGAAGATTCAGAATACCAACAATTCCGACAACCCCCTTCAATCTTCCCCAAAAGCAACCAACACCCATACCACACGACTCCCTTTCGGCTCCAAATCCTCGTCGATGCGGAGCGAGTTTGTCTCTACGGGATCGGGCAATTCCAGTATTCAGAACACGACAGACGACGACAACAGCTATAATACCAGCAATAATGACACCGACAATCCCGATCCCAACAACAACAATGATGATAATAAGCATGGGCCAAGAAGACGACATAGTTCGGCACCTTACATTCCATCTACCCGTAACCAGGGCCGGCCCTCGAGTATGGGATGCGTCCAGATGCATCGCGCAAGCGACCATATATATGTCACTGATGCTGCACCGTTTTCTGGCAGTACGGCTGAGATCGTGGGGGACCCTCCTCCCCCTTCTTCTCCAGTGTCGGCTGGTTCACCTCGTCCGTCCTCTGACACTCACCCTCGTTCACATTGTCCGCTTTGAGACTGAATCGGCACATGTATGCTCCTCCTACCCCCTCCTACATCTCCCTCCCGCCTTCTCCAAGCCTTCAGTATCTCTCTACTTCACCCCATCCCCCCAATAGGGGTTTTTATCCGTCTCTCTATCTATCCACCTCTTACACTCTCGACTTCTTCCTCTATCACCCTCCACGTATGACTTCAGCAGTGTCTAATCTTCTGTTCTCTTTTTCATATTTCTTTTCTTTTCTTTTTTTTTTCTTTTCTTTTTTTTTTTTTTTTTTTTTTTTTTTTTTTTTTTTTTTTAAACTTATCATTTAATCACTTCTCGCACGATTCCAATATTTCTTGACACGAATTCCCTTTGTGGCTTTCATTTAGTATGATTTTTATGTTATTTCTGAAAGGCGCATTTGGAGGAACGGCATTTGTTCGTAAGCGTTTCTTATTTCTTTCTTTTCCTCTTCTTTTCCTCTTTTTTTTTTTTTTTTTTGTTTTTACCATATATTATTATTTTCTCTTCAACAAATTATTCAAATATTATTAGCTCTAGTAGCGTGGAATTTGCTATTTCCCATTTTCTGCATGTTTCCCTTTCGTCCCCTGTACTTCTTGGATCTTTTATCTACGTCACTGATGCTGTTGCTAAAATCTAAAACGGGGCTCTTTTTTTGTTTTCCTGCCTTTTTTTGGGGTGATTGCTAAATTGTTGTAAGTTCGGTATGTAATGTTATGATGGACAAACAGGGAACGGAAAAACAAATATTGATTGAATGATGATCATGACGATGAGCCTTGTCTCTTTTGCCCATTTTTCGTTTTCTAGATACATGTGTATTATTTGCTTCATCGAGATGTTTTGATCCAACCTACATTGTTGTGCGGGGAGCAGCAAACTGATATCGCTTGCAATTTTGCCAACTGTGAGCTTTTTTTAGTTAGCTTAACCAGCCTAAAATTAAGCAACGTACGGAGTACTGTACTGTACTGTGTGCACATACATACGCAGGAAGCTATCTGCCCGATGAGGCTTGGTTCGTGTTCTGCTTATCGGCTTAGCCTTGGTTCCAGGCTAACTCCGCCCTGGGCACACCCGCCGATGATGATGAGCCTCACCCAAACCACCATCTCATGGCAATCCTGTCGTGACAAATCAATCGAACGCGGAATAACTAATACAATTAACTACCAAACTGCCCCCTGCGTGGCTGTCTTGTACTCCCCAAAGAATCGATACAAACCACTTTGCTTCGTGGCGAATGCTGGGCAACTGACCAGCCAACCTCCCCTCCCTGTATCGTCGCCAGCTAACTCTCCTTTCCCCTCTCCATTCTGCTGGCCTGAGACGCCGCGAAAGTTACAATAAAACCAGCGCGGCCCTTGTTGCACTCGTGACATGTCTCCTCGTCTTCCTTTCTTTTGGACCTTTTTCTACTACTAGGTAGGTTTGCCCCTCACGAATCTCTCTCTTCAAGCAATGCATTTGGGAGGAACTGACCCTTTTTTCTCCAAACTCTCTCAGACTACGGATGGTAGCTAGAACGACGGCGGAGCCTTTTCTAGAGTCTATTTTATACGAGAAACACGGCGACTAGACGAGACGGCTTGGATCACCTTGACCAGCCTTGGTGACCTAACAGCGCCCTGCGAAAGGTGACGCAAAAAAGGGAGGAAGAGGAAGAGAGAAAAAAAAAAAAAAAAAGAGGGATATTCTGTCGTTTTTCTTTGCTAGGGTCGTCGATCCTCATCACCGTTTCATAACTCTCATTTCTCCTCGTCGATCTATCTATCTCCTAGCACGCCACCACACACACTATTCAGAAGGTACTTAGGAGGACTCTCTCCTCCGTACCAACGTGGAATATCCCCTCGGTAGAGCCAATGACGACGGCCCTTCGTCCAAGCGACGGAGACTGGTCTCGTCTCCCCCCTCAGGAAGAAGACGAACGTCGTTCCTGAAATCTTATCTGCAGAGAACCAGTCACTTACTACTTCATTCGATGTCATCTCCTTCCTCCGCCTCCACGTCGCCGTTGTCCTCCTCCTCCGCCTCCTCTTCTTCACCCTCACCTGCAGCGGATCCTATCACTTTCCCTATTTCCCCAACCCCTGCAGCTTCCAGGTCTCAACATGATTCTAGTACCACGTCTTCTACTCAATCCTCTCACGACTCGCTTCAAACAACGAGAAATATAACGGCGGTTGGGTCGAGGGATTCACAGGGATCAACACGGACTGCAGGGTCGTCTAGACACACTTTACTGGAGTTTCTACAAAATGAAGGTCCCGAAGCTGGGAATGGCCAGCAACAGTCGGAGCAGGGACAGAGCGTACGGAATGCACAAGAAGCCAACACTACAAGTTTGGAACGAAAGAGGAGGTTGACCAGCGCGAGTGACAACTTTGGCTATGCTCACCCAGGGGCGGGTAGCTCCTCAGTAGATGCTGGCTCGTCGGGAGCTCGTCCCAGACCCTCTGCCACTCAGTCGTGGGGACGCACTGGTTCAGGACTACCAGGGAGCTCAAGAGAAAATGCAATTGATCTCTCCGGGTCTCAAGAGTCACTCTCGCGGCAGCTGAGCTCGTTGCGGCATCGGGAGAACAGCTTTGCAAATTACGAGTTACCGCAATGGCAGTCTGATTCTGAAGTTTCAAAATGTCCCATCTGTGATACCCAGTTCAGCTTTTGGTACAGGAAACATCACTGCAGGAAATGCGGGCGGGTAGTTTGTGCCTCGTGCTCACCACATAGAATCACCATCCCACGCCAGTTCATTGTTCGTCCGCCAGAATCTAATAGACCGCTCTCGACACTTCTCCAGTCGAATCCCTCTGAAGCTCAAGTTATTAGTCTCATTGATGACGATGAACAAAGGCCCTCCGCAACTGCCGGCTCGTCTGTCCTCATGGACAGACAGCAAAGATTACGACAACAAAGAGGCCGCTACCCTCCGAATTCAGCCTTAGGAGGTGGAGAAGAAGTCCGTTTGTGCAATCCATGCGTCCCTGATCCCAACCCTGAGCCTCCCAGACGTTATACAAGTGGTGGCTCATTGTTTCCACCCTCCCTTTCAGGCTGGCCAGACGACGCAGCGGCGGCTTCTCATGCACCTACGCAACATCATTCTACATTACCAGGCTACTACCGCAATAGTAGTGCATATAGACGTGATAACAACCTCTTTCATCGACCGTCGGCTTCTCTCTCATCAGCCGCAGATATGCCGGCTTCCCAGGAGGCTCGTGACATCCGAAGACGCCGGGGTCGCGGTATGATTGTGAGTTTTTTCTTTTTTCTTTTTTCTTGTTTACATTATGATCTCCTAGTGTTTCATATAAACAAATTGCGCATGTTAACATTCTGTTAAATCTAGTTCCAGCCCGAGACTCCTGAAATTCAACGAGCAGCTCAAGAAGGGTTTCCTGATGAAGGCTTGCCGTCGTATGGAAGCTTTGATTACACAGTTGTCCCGAATTTCCGTGGCATGCCCCCACGGTATCAGTCAACGCAACAGGCTGCTGGGGCCCCGCATCCTCGTTACTCTCCTCCAGCATATTCTTCAACTTCTGGCACGTCCATTCCGGTATGGATTCCCTGTTGATAAGCCTTTCGTTCCATTTTTGTTTTCTTTTCGTTTTATTTTATTTTTATTTAATCACACTAGATGGTTTCCCCTTAAGATGCCGACATATGTACTAAAGCAGCCGTGTAACAGGCTTCCCGCCATCGTGCCAGCCACTCCATCTCCCGTCCCATGCCCACCCATCACCGCGGCCCATCCACCGATTTTCTCCAAAGCCTAAGCCCTTCATCATCCAGCCGAAACAGGCCCTTACATCCCGTCGCGCCACACCACTATCGCCGCCCGATTGACGAAAGCGACATTTGCCCTATATGCGGTCGCCTCCTTCCACCGCGGGGCCCCGATGGCAATGAAGCCGCCCGAGAAGCCCATATACGCGATTGTATAGAAGGGCACGGGACCGGACACGGGCATCCCTCTAACATCCCTTCCAGCAGCACAGGTCGTCGCATGTCACAGTCCCATCCCAATGAGAACGACCACAATAATAATCACCATGCCGACCGCCCTTTACGAATGTTGCCGTTTACAGCGACAGAGAAAGATTGTGTTGGTGAGGATGGCGGGCAGCAAGAATGCACGATTTGCATGGAGGAATATGAAGTTGGGGACCATTTGGCGCGGCTGGAGTGCCTGTGCAAGTTCCATAAGGCGTGTATAGTGAGCTGGCTGGAGAGGAAAATGGAGTGTCCGGTTCATAAAGTGCATTAGTTCGCTTCTATTTTTATTCTTTTTTATTTTTTTTGCTGTTTTTTTTCTTTTTCTTTTTATTTTTTTTTTCCTTTGTGCATGTTAGCGGGTGTTTTGCGGGTCGGGTCTACTTTGAGTAGTTTTGGATTTGTCCTTATGAAATATGTTCTTCTCAGGGTCTCCGCCGTCCTTTTTCCCCCTTCCTTCCCCCCACCTTCCCGTCCCGAACCTACTCTACTGTTGCATGCGATGGTTACAACTTCTCGGCTGGTAACCAACGACGTGTCTCGTTCCCTATTCTGGGCATTGATGCCTTTTTTTTATATCTGTGCAGTATTTAGATAACTGGATCCAGGTCAAGAACGTGCTTTGGTCCGATTTTTTCCGAGTATCGTAGGGGAGCTAATTTCTCATTCGAGCTATGTGACAATCACAGACTGGACGTCATCACATTGATAAAAATTACAATGAGCTGGCATTAGGACTTTTGAAAAGACAAAGCATGTTCAAAAAGATCTCACCTCCAAGGCAGCAGCTCTAGGCTGCGAAATTATCACTCCGGCAATTGGCTAAATAATATTTTATTTCTTTTTCATCGCCAGCTGCTGGCGGAATAAACGCTTGGAATACGAGAAACCAGCAGAACGACGTCCATTCCCTGCCCATTTTCCGCCGTTTTGACTCAGCCCTAGGCACGGCAGTAGTCATAAGTTCCTCCCATGTGTCCTAGCGGGCGATTTCGACCACAAGTTCGCCCTCACCGACGACGACGCCCGCCTCGACCTCCCCCGGCTCTGTTGATCTCTCGATCTCAGACAAGTTCGCGAACGAGACAGAGAACACGGTTATCACCAGCTTCATCTTCTCAGTATGCCCCGTGCCTGACACTGCTAAGCTAGCTCTGTGCCGACGCTCTCGCCACACCCTCCCCCCAGCGGCTTCCCAGCTGTGTCAGACCGGCCGCCGAAAGCACCGTTGGCCGTGCACGCTATCGGGAGTTGCCTAACCCACGCATCGTACGTTTCTGTGCCACAAGCACCGGGGAAAAGGGTTTCCCCAGAGCTAAAAAATCTAGTAAAATCCAGGGGGAGGCGGGAGGGGGGAAGTATTTATTACATTTGCTGACGATGACGAGCTTCTCAACAGAAGGGAATCGCCTCGTTCACGCGCGGCCACAGCCCCTCCGGCGTGGCGCCACCCAAAAACGCGTCCCAAGGGAAAAAAGAAAGCTTTGAGAATACCGAGCGAGAAGAGGGAAAACGGGGATCCTGTTTCCATCCACAGCTCCTGATTCCATGGATGCCGATCCGCGAGCTCCCCGACGTCACACCGCGCCCTCGCAGTCTTCATCCACACCCACCTCCGACTTGAGCATCCAACAAACTCACACTACTTACTACTACGACGACAGCCCGAACCCGCAGTCTCCACACTCCGCAACCCTTGGCGGCGGTCCCCACGATGACGATAGTACCCGGGACCGTGACCAGGACCACAGAATCGGGACCGGGGCCGGGACCGGCATTGGAGTCGGCGCCGGTACATATACCGAATCCACTGTCGTGACAGACGCTCACAATCATAATAACAACCCCAATGACCCCCTAGCTGACTTGAAGCGCCCGCGCGCCTGCGAGGCCTGTCGACAGCTCAAGGTGCGCTGCGACCCGCACCCTGACACCCCAGATGGCCCGTGCAAGCGCTGTGCGAAGGCCAATCGCCGCTGTGTCGTGACGGTGCCGACGCGAAAGAGGCAGAAGAAAGCTGATAGTCGTGTTGCGGAGCTGGAGAGGAAGATCGATGCCCTGACAGCAAGCTTGCAGGCCACTAGAGCGAGGAATGGGAGTAATGCTGCTGGGAGCGGAGGGATGGGGAGCCCTGTTTTACGATCTGGGTCGGCGGCGGAGGATCTCCCTGCTGCCCGGTGGATGGGGGGCGTACAGCACCATGGAAGTGAAAGTAGACGGGCGACTACTGGAGGCTCAATGGCAGGGCTAGCTGGGAATAAAAGGTATGCCAGTGGGGAGTTTAAGTCTAGGTTCGGGAATGCTGGGATTCTTGTTCCGCTGGCTGCTCGACCCCATAGTCCGACGACTGAGAGCACGTCGACATTCTATGATGGGTCAAATCACGGTGGCGACGGGAATACCCCAGATAACTGGCCTCCGATATTGCCAACCATTGACAGAGCACTCAAGGCTCGCTACGATTATGAGTATACAGATGTCATTGATCGAGGGGTTGTGGATACGGAGATGGCTCTCAAGTGTTTCAACCGCTATGTGAACGATATTGCACCGTTGCTTCCCTTCGTCGTCTTTCCCCCTGAAACCACCATGGCCGAAGTTCGTCGGACGAAACCCATCCTTCTTCTGGCTATCCTATCCATATCAATCGGCATATTCAACGCGGACCTGCAGACTTCTCTGCTGAACGAGCTCTTCCGCCTCTTTGCAGACCAGGTAATTGTCAAGGGTTCGAAGTCTCTCGAGTTGGTGCAGGCCATTATGCTCTCGATGATCTGGTATACACCTCCGGACCATTACGAGGAAATGAAGTTCTTCCAGCTCATACACATCGCCGCGACGATGGCGATGGACCTAGGTATGAACAGGAGAACCAAGTCGAAGGCGAAATCGAAGTCTATGGGCATGTGGAGGGAAATCATGGGCAAGAAAGTTGTCATGCTAGACCCCGATGCACCGGAGACTCGGAGGGCATGGCTCGGGTGCTATTTTATGTGTGTTAAGTATGTTTTTTGGCCCTTTCCCTGCACTCATCTAGTCATGGTATCGCGTCCTTCATAGCCGTTGTGCCATGCCGGTATTTATTTTATTTATTTTACTTTTGCTAAAATGCTAGGACAGCGTTGCAATGTCACTTCGACGCCCCATCCTCACGCGTTGGCACCCGTACATGGACGAATCTCTCGAAATCCTCGAGACGTCGCCCGATGCGCTTCCATCTGATAGAAATCTCATTCAATGGGTGAAGCTGGCGCACCTTGGCGAAGAAATTCTTTTCCAGTTTTCAATGGATGACCCCGCTACCAATGTAGATATAACGGATCCCAAAAACCAATATGCGTTAAAGGGGTTCGAAAGGCGTTTGGCAGAATGGCGAAAGGAGGTGCCTCCCGAGTGCTACTCTCGTAAGCTCTTTTAACCTTGTTCTCCCATGCTACCTCCGTATCTTTCACTTCTAAACATTACATAGCCCTAATGCGCCACTATGAGCTCGTTCTCAACATCTATATGCATGAAATCGGCATGCACGCCGACCACAACATCGACGATTTCAAACCGCCCTTTATAAATAGTCTTACCTCCGACAATCCGGTCAACCTTGGCTCTCCCGCGCACGTTGACGCTCTAACTGTCTGCCTCACTTCCATCTATGAGGCAATAGACACGTTTACCTCCCTCGATTATACGACTATCCAATCTAGCCCCACCATCCACTTTGTTCGTACATCATACGCCTGCGTCGCTCTCATCAAACTATATACCGCCGCATCGTACCCCGCCACTCGACTGGGCCAGGTATTCAATCCTACAGACTTTAAGATTGAATACTACCTCACCAAGCTCATTGCCCATTTGAAGGGTTCGGGCGAGCGCATGTCAGGACGGGTGCCATCTAGATTCTCGCTAATGTTGGGAATATTAAAGACGTGGTTTCTCAAGAGGAAAGAAGGGAAACCAGTGAGCACTGGTAGCGGTCCGTGGAGCTTTTTTCAGCCGAAGGATATTCGGACGTATATCGCACCGGAGCCGCGCGCATCGGAGTCGGAGAGCGCGGGACAAGCGCAGGTTAGTACTGAGGTTTTACGTGCCTTGCTTTTCCCGCTCGAGATTCAAATCCTCAAGCAACTATCAAGATTTCTTCGCCTGCTTTCTTTTACGAATCTCGGGAGCTGATATATCCACTTCCCATTAGGCTACTTGTAACCCGGAATCAACGCCTTTACACCTCCAAAATCATGCAGCCATGGGTCATCCAGAGACCCAACAATCACACCACCACCAGTCGAGCCTCTCCCCTCAGAACGTTCGCACTGATACGCACACCACTACTCTCCCGATCCACCCTTCCACAACCAACACTTCCAACATTGCCACTAACACAATCCCTGCGAATGAACATTGGACCCCGTTCGGTCCCTCACCAGGCATGGGCATTTTCCCCACCACCACAGTGCCTAACCAACCCTTATCATCGCAGTATCTACCGCGGCACCCGACCCAGGCCTTCGTCACCGCCGACTCAGGGGGACTGGTAAATCCACAACAGCCAGAGCTGGATCCACAGCAGGCCTTCATGCTAACCCAAGATATGCAGCTCATGTTCCAGCAAGATGAACTTGCTGGGTTGGGAAATATGTGGGATGACATTTTTTTTCCATTCCCCTTGGACGAGACCGGCCAGCCGCTGTGACAAGGCGCATAAGAAAAAGGAAGAGGAAAAAAAAAGGGGGAGGAAGAAAACAAAAAGAAAAAAAGGAAACGAAAAAAAATAAAAATAAAAAAGGAATCATATCTACTCCGGACAACATTCCATACCACTCTACTCACTGGCTCCCATGCTCTCTCCCCTCTTTCTATCACTACCTCCATCTCATCTCCCCTCCTTATCTGTAAATATATATATAGGTATCACCGCAACCGACATATACCCCACCCAGCCCACTTCACGATAGCCTAGCAACCAAATAATAAACAACAAACATCACAAAGCCAAAATAAAGAAAGACAGAAAGCAGAACGAATAGTTACAAGAAATGAGGATATATAATATTATTATCTTCATTCAACATCTTCGCTTTAAGCCACATACTTTTATTTGTTTTTACTTTGTCACGGCTAGTTATTATTTAGCGCAAGAGGCCGTGGCCCGTGGGTAACTAACTAAAACGCCATGGCTGACTGGGGTTAAGTTGTCCATGCGGAACACATCTTGAAGCTTCATACCGGCGCTATCCAGAGCGCCGAAACTATCTCGGACATACAGCGTAATGCACATTTCCCCATTTAACGTCCGTTTTCATGTGGAGGGGAGGAAGCCTACTTGGCTCATGTTTGATTTCGAGACACTCGATGACCCTATCGTCTTTTTTTTTTTTTTTTTTTTTTCTTTTTTTTCGGGGAATTGGGCAAAGAAACCTTGGAAGCCTTGAGGATGTGCAATGTGCTCCATCACATGGATTCCCCGCGACGGCACCTCATCCTCGTTTTTCAATCAGGAGGATGGATGAGAAGTTGGATCTCATTGACTGCGCATTCTTCTTTAGAAAACGCCAACCATGGCCTCAAGGCGAGAGCATCGTTCCTACAACAGTTAGTTTACCCCTTCGTAGCCAAACTTTGGAATTAATTAACTTGCCGTTTCCGTACATTGCTTGGGTCAGGCTTCATTCAGACCTAAAGGAGCAATGTCTCTGTTGTGTCTTTTTTGCTCTCCTCCCTCCAATAGGAGACATCGTCCCATTTGTCTGCATGAAGCGGAGATGATGATGCGCTGTTGTTTATCCGGGCAGTCAGCCTGGATTTCCTGATTCAGACAATAATTTCATTAACTAGTTATGTCTCCCAGCAGGCTTTTCTGGAAGCGAGCATGCTTGGCCACAGCCCATTCCTAGCCAAGTCAATTGCTCTTCTTTGTTTCTTTCTCACGGTTGAAGTCTGGGCACGAACGAGGACACGGCGTTCAAAAACTGCGGGTGCACCCTCTTGCGGTTACTCGGTACACTATTACCCTATTGCGACGTTCCAGTTGTATGCCTGATACCTAAATTAGTAGAGGTACCAGGGCTCTTTGATATAAAGCCTACAGATGCAGAGCTTTCCGACCCCAAAAGGGGGGCCTTAATGAACGGGCAGAAAGAAGTCGCCAAGCTTCATTCTCAGTTCCCATTCACCGCGCGAAATTTCATTGTCCTCACATTCACCTGCTGCTGGCTATAATAAAACCACCTTGGAACGTTTAACACCATGGTTAGGCGCAACATCAAACTCCTCTCCAACGGCGCGCGGCATCATCAGATCCCTACTTTCTCATCTCACTGCTACGAAACCTACCACGAAACAGGAGTATAAGAAGGATATTAAGCGGCCAACAACCATGGCAGCCCAAACCCAAACTCCCCCGCAGTTCACACACATCCAGTCCAAGGGCATTTATCACGGCCTGCCAGTCATTCCGGAATCTGATTCCCGCAAGGGGCTGACAGCGATTGTAACGGGAGCCAATGGCATATCAGGTAGCCACATGGTGCGCGTGCTGGCAGAAACCCCCGAGCGCTGGGCAAAGATATACACCATGTCCCGTCGTGCGGCTATTGGAGGGAGCAAATATGGGAATGTGACGCATCTCGAGCTGGACTTCTTGAAGAGCTCGCCGGGAGATTTGGCCAAGGCCATGGTGGAGAAGGGAGTTAAGGCGTTAGTTGATTTATTTCTCCTTTGCTCTACTTGCTTATCTTCTCCCTCATAAGTCTTCTTCGTAACTCTTGGGGAGTTTTGCTGGAGAAACGGGGGACAGGGCTTTCGTTGATTGAGTATTGGCTAACGCTTTCATTTTTCAGTGACTATGTCTTCTTCTACTCGTATATTCAGGTTCCTCCGAAGACTGAGGGGTCGATTTGGTCAGATGCACAGGAGATGTGCAATATAAATGGTAATGATGCGCCGACTTGAGTGGATCTTTTGCTATCTATACATTACCCCCCCCCCTAGGAAATTTCCCGTTCTTGTGAAGTTCCCAGAGGCAGCTGATTCAAATTCAAATATATTAGGTGCTTTGCTCTCCAACTTCATCCAGGCTCTTAAACTTGCTTCAATCACTCCCAAGCGCTTCATGCTCCAAACAGGTGCCAAAAGCTACGGTGCACACCTCGGCACCGCGAAATCTCCTCAAGTAGAATCAGATCCTCGCGTTACAATCGAACCAAATTTCTACTATGACCAAGAAGATTTGCTCTTCCAGTACTGCGAGGAAACAGGCACGGAATGGAACGTCGTCCGCCCTTCATTCATCCTCGGAGCCGCCAAAGACGCAGCCATGAACCTGGCTTACAGTCTTGGTGTCTTTGCCGCCGTCCACGAACATTTAGGCAAGCCATTGGTCTTCCCTGGAAATATAGCTTCGTTCGATGTCATCAGAGACCTGTCTTCGGCTATGTTGAATAGCTATATGGCGGAATGGGCTGTGCTAAATCCAGTTGCCCCCAACGAGGCATTCAATGCCTGCGACTGCAGCGCAGTGACTCCCGGCGCTCTCTGGACCGCGCTTGCAAAGATGTATGGGCTTGAATGTAAAGTTCCAGATCCAAATGCTGAGTATCAGAGCCTCACTCTACCATTTGATCCTCCTCCTCGAGGGTAAGTGGTCCATTTTAATCTCCTAATCTACTTGTCATCCCCCCCCGCGTTTATTTGGCCACATAAATGCGTTAGTGAACCAAGAAAGGGGCTAAATAATGAGTGCTGGACTTCAAATCCAGATTTGGACCTCCCGAAAAGATCGAATTCACCTACAGCATTGCCGCATGGGCGTACGACCCACAGGTCCACACAGCATGGCAAGAGCTCACACAGAAACATGGCCTCGTCCACAACCCATTCGCCACACCAGCTGATCGAAACCGTATCTTCGGCTTCACGGATACCGCTATTTTGGGAGGAACCCCCGTGCACTTCAGGTGAGTTTGGATATGTCACATCTGAGTTATCTTGGTTGATTTTTCCTTCCACCTCGTAGCTCTCCCTGTTTGTCCAACGCTATATTCGTACGGAGTCATGGAGCAAGCACTAATTGGCACATCCCACAGCATGGACAAATCTCGTAAGCTGGGTTGGCATGGCACCGCTGACAGTTTCGCGTCGCTACGCAATGTTCTCGAGGAATTCGTGCAGATGAAAATGCTGCCGCCATTGCCTTCGACCGCGTAGACATGCCTGCCGGCCAGCTGCCTTTTCTGGATATTTGTCTCCTTTTTAGTATTTTCCTCATCAACTCTTCTTTTGTCCCGGCGATTTCGTGTCAATTTTCTTTTTTGACTCCTTCCGTTTTCAGGCGTTCATGATGATTCATTCATGTTATTTTTTCCCCGAGCTGTATTGGTGATGAATGTAGGGTAACGAAAACTCCCCGATTTTTATTCTTGCCTAAACACGATCCAAGACAACTCGCGGTCTTCTGATGCAACCTGCAGGTGATCAGTCCAGTTTGCAGTCCCTTGCCTATCTTCTGCTTCAGAACACCATAACACCGGTGATCAGTCTGGGTTGTGGCCACAGTTGCGCCCCCACCACTGCAGCTGGTGATCAGTCCAGTTTGCAGTCCCTTGTCTATCTTCCACTTCAGAATGCCATAGCACCAGTGATCGGTCGGGGTTGTGGCCACAGTTGTGGTAGACCCACCTTCTTCGAAAAAGGTCTAGCGCTCACTCCCTCATTCCTTATTAGGTTTAGCACCCGCGGCATTTAGTGGTTTCTATCACCTTCTTTCAACCTCATCCTGCCACCCCATTTTCATTCCCCGCGACCGCTCCTTTTCGGACAGGGGAACTGTGGCGTCCACCCTTGCTACTCCTCAGGGCTTCCGCTCCTCCCTTCTTCCACTCCATCCTTATTCCTCTATCTGGAAGCACATCCACCTGCTACTTCCCAGGGCTTCTGCCCCTTCCTTCCTGGGGCTTCCACTCCTTCCTTCTGTAAAGTCAACCATGATAAACAAACAAGCATGTACTTATATATATATATAGGGGCGCCCTCCATCTTAGAAGAAGGAGACAAGATTTACCTTTTTACATGTACTATACATGATTGGCATACACTGCAAGTGATGTATGCTGCAGGGGCTGTGTAATGCTTATGATACCTATTTTTTAAAGTGCAGGCCGGAGCAATTTAACCCCGCTGCAGAAGTCTCATTGAGCAAAGAAGGCAAATATGTAGCTGCACTGAGATAATGCAATAAATGGTCACTCTTTTTTGGGCTGCAAAGTCTTAGCTACCATGTGCGATGGATTAAGCGCCTGTATTAAGGCCTGAAATTGTTCACCTCCTTGGCATGCCAACCAGCGCCATGTGCCAATCATGCGGGAATTTCCCTTGCTTTCAGCAAGTACTTTCCTGATACAGTTTTTTCCTAGAAACCTTTTATGTGAAGATGAAAGTTACTGCTTCTTTCTTGACCTTTTGAATATTTGTGTTTGTTCTAAGGAGGTAGTTGGTGTTACACCTGCCGAGGCAATATGGCACTGACTTGGCTGGCTTGGTGGGCTGTCATCATCCTCACCTGTGAGCACTGATTTGGAGTTGGATTGTTGGGAGTATTGACCTGACTGCGAAATGTCAAAATCCACATCAGAGAGTATCTGATCAATTACAGAGCATATTCTTTTAAAATGAGTTGGCATTCATATATCATAGACATTTCTCATGAATCTGTATATTGTTCATTTCTCTTTGTCATTCAGAGCAGTAAAATCAAACTTGTGAATTGAGTGATAGTAAAAATTTGTCTTCTCTTCTTCAAGAACTGCATAGTAACTGTAGATCCTCACTGCTATATAATTATATAAGACTGAGAAGACAAGTATCTCTCAGTTAATCTCTTTTTCTTGCTTCATCAGTTTGAATAACTCAATAATATCTCTAACTGTAAGAGTCATACTGTGAGCATTCTGTTAATCTGTAATATCAAGTGTCATCTCATCACATTTTATCTCACATATTAGAAATGAAAAATGCATAGTATCTATTATCATAAAAAATGAAGTACACTCTCAGTCACTTATAAAAGGCTTGAGCTTCTCAAGTTGATCATCTATAAATGCAGATTACTTGAATCTCACAGAGTAATCAGATTGTAAACAGAGTTCATAGAAAGAGATACTCTTGTTTCAGTTATTATTAACATCTTCATTCAAACACTTCAGATGAGTAATCTTATATCTAACTAGAGTATCTACAGATGAGATAATTAATAGCTTAATATTCTGAATTATTTTAACTTTATTCTCACATTGAATCTTCTCACAGATTGTGTTGAATAAGTTATCTTAAAATAATAAATTCTCAGAGATAGTTGAGACTGTATTAAGTAAAGATTTAATAAAAGTACTACTTTTATCTGTAATTTCAACATGTGACTTTTTCATAAAGCTGTCTTTTAATTTAAGTATAGTTTAATAGTATGAATTTCTGTATAAAGCACTCTTTTCATTTCTTGATTTTTGAACACTCAGTGTGAAAACAGAGTCAGATTCTGATTGTTTACAGTGAAAAGAAGATAATATCTTTCTTATAAGTAGAGAATTTATATTATTCTATCTGAAATATAATTTAAGTCAATGTTCTTACAGAATTTAATAGTTAATTAAATTAATATTGTTCTTATAGATATAGTTTAGTAACTCTTAATCAGATATGACTTTAATAGCTGAGCTCTTAACAGCAGCAGTTGCAAGAGTTATCTGTGATTACTTAGTAAGAAGACAGAGCAGATCTTCAGATTCTTATAATTATTTCTGTTTCTAATGTCTAGCTAGCAGAGATGCAGTTGAATTCTGTGATAACTTAACTCTGAGTTAGTTTCATAGCATAGTGAGAAGAGAGGAAACATATCACTGTTTCAGAAATATCACTATTTAAAGAGAGATATACTTACAGAGAGATTAGCAGACTCTGAGAAGTCTTAGCTTTAAGTTAGTTTCATGATATAATATAGTAAGAGAAAAGTCACATATCTGCTCTCTAAAATTATTACTTATTGAAAAGAAATATAAGTGATTTTATTCAGTTTTTCTATTCTTCAATTAAATTTGTTTATAAAGATCACTGAGATGTGAACTTCTGCAGATGAATTCTTAAGATTATTTTCTAACCTCTTAAGATTACTTTTCTATTAATAGTCAGTTAAAGTAGATAGTAATGAATATAAGTAATACATCTTGATTTTAATAACAGGTTATGATTAGAATGACTGTGTAACTGTGTCTGAAACCAGAATCAGAATATTTAATAGTTTTATTATCAATTTAACTGATCTCATTACACAGTTTTAAGATTATATAGTAGTCTCATACTATTTCAGTGAGACTTACTGTCTACTCTTATTATATTTTTCAAATGAGATCATGATTTTCACTTCTCAATTTAAATTATTTTTATTGCTTTAAATGACTTTAAATCTCATTTAAGTATTATCAAAAAGTGTTACTTTTTAAAAAATTAAAAATAGGCTAAAAACAACCTTAAAATGTCCAAAAATAGTAAATTTTTGTCAAGAATGAGACTAAATAAAATCAAATGAAATCACTTTCTTATTTTTTCTAAGTTATGATTTCATTTTGAGATTTAATATATAGTCACTTTGCATGTTTTTTTAATGATTAGTTTCAGTGAGATTCATACTAAGAAATGTATGAAACCAGACTAAATAAGATCAAATGTGAAATTCATGATTTTAGCGGCTAGTCTAGTCATGATAACAGAGAGTAGAAGGTACTTTTAAGTTGCTGCAAGAGCAGAGAATTGTGTTGACACTGAGAGACCTTTTAAGTGAGAAGATGATAAGTTTCTAGTGTAATTGTAACTAGTTATTAAAAGAAGAGTTAATGTAATTAACTATCTAATACTTGTTTTCATCTAATACTTGCCTTTTTAAATCAATTACAATCAACTTCAAATATTCATATATCAATGAATATTTATTTAAAACTATTCTAAAAAACAGAATAATAATTTGTAGATATATATTATATTATATTAAATTTTTATAAGAAAATAAAATATAATTATTAATTTATTAAGCTTTTTAAAATACTATTTTAAAATAAAATACACAGTTCATATTTATAAATATATTTATAAATATAAATTATTTTCAAATAAAAATTAAATATCGTATAGATTATATATATTTTTAATAAAATATAAAATTTTATCTTGAAATTCTTATTTATTATTGATTTATTTAAATTTTTATATAAATTTTTATATTTTAAAATATTATTTTTGTAATAACTGTGTATTATTTATACTTTAAAATTGTAATTTAAATAAATTATTATATCAAATCATTTAAATATATTTATATTTAATAAATTATTTTTCAAAATTTAAAATTTTAAGAATTTTCAATATTTTACTTGTAATTTATAAAGAAAATTATAATAAAAAAATAAAAAAATTCTTAAAAATTAAATTATAGAATTCTTATATAAAATAATTTAATATTTATTAAATTATAATATATTTATATAAGAATTATTATTTTTAATAATATATAATACATATTTCTTAATTTATAATAAAATATTATATATTTTATTTTACTGTATTTTATTTTCTAATTGAATCTATATTTTAATTAATTTTAACTATATTATAATAATTTTGAATTATATTATACTATAAGTCTTAATATTTATAGATTACAAATTAAAAAATTAAAATAATGAATATTTATTAAGATATTAACATTTAAAGTTGATTATAATTGATTTACAAAGACAAGTGTTAGATGAAAATGAGTATTAGATAATTAATTATATTAATGTAATTAATCATCTAATGCTTGTTTTTCTCTAACTAATACTTATCTTTATAAATAGACTGATTAATATAAGAGGCCTATACTGAATAGATCAGTATGATATTTATAGATCTTATTTAACAAAGTGAAAAATGTTAAAGAAGAAAAGAAAGAGAAAGTATAAGAATCAGTAATTAAAGTGAATATTTATATACATATATAATAAAGCTTCGGGGTGAAAGAACAGGAATTTCATAGATTCTTTAGCCAAGAATTGATACTTGAGAATTGAAGCTTTCAGTGAGATCTATGAAGTGTAATAAAATAGTCTATATAATTGATCAGATGCAGTCTGTCATATTATCTCTCTTCTTTCAGAGATGAGATTGTATGTAGTTCTTATTAATTAAGAGCTGCTGTTTTAAATAATATAAAGCTCAGAGTTCAGATCAGATGATCATAGCTAACTCATTTTACAAGATATTATTAATCATAGCTGTAGAGTCTCTTATTAAGAATATCTTTAATCTCTCACTTAAGTTCATTATCTTCTTCTACAATTTCTGACAACTGTTAATCAGAAGTCAGTTGAGAAGAGAACAGATCAGTGACAGTGTGATAAAGTAAGCTTGTATAAAAGATATTATAAATCTCTGATAATGTATTAAGATGATAATTATAACTGTCTAGAACTTTTATCACTTTATATTTAATATAATAATAATTCAGTGTATGAGATAAGTATATAATTTATATATTCTTAAAATTCAATCACATCAGATCTTCTATCTCATATTACTTAGCAGAATCTTAGTGAATATTAGTTCAATCTTCTTAATTCTGTTTAGTACTTATTATAAAAGCTTCTGCTTAATCATAGATATCTCTAAGCTTTATTACTATATTATCAGCAATCTGAATCAGACTGCAGAAGTTCAGTGTGAACTGTGTAATCTCTAGAAAATTCAAAACTTTTATATAATATTTATATATAAGAAAGAACAGGCTTATATCTATTAAAATGATATTTTAATCATTGATAGTAATCTCTGTGTATAGAAGAAGATTATATCAATCATTTTATAAATAATTAAAGAACTTATAAAGATAGTTCTTTACAGTCTGAATTATTAATTCTAATATATTATCAATCTCAGAGTGATAAACAGTTGATAAATAGTATATAATCTTAAGAACTTGACAGATTCTTGTTCAGAAAGTGCTTATAAATTAACAGTCTTAATCAGATACTATAGATTTCAGTAAGTTATATATCTGATAGAATAAGCTCTGTAGAAAGATTTCAGTGACTTATTCAGTATTCATCTTATCACAAGACTTTAATATTACACTCTTACTCAATCAGTCAATAATAATTAGAATATTTGTATAACTCTTACTCTCAGAGAGATTAATAGCAAAGTTAATTACTACATTCTATCAGATTTTATCAGAGATATTGAGTAATTTCAGTACATCTTTTCTACAGTTCTTTTATAAGATAATAGAAGAATAATAATTACAGTTTCAGATAAAATGTCTGATACTGTCACGCCCCCGGCCGCATCAAGGCCTCGCTGCGGTTCCACACGGTCTATTACTTTCATGCGGATGATTTCATTCTGTCTGAACTGGTTTTCAATCACTCTATGACATCATTCAGATATATCATAGAAAGATTCAATTAATGAATATAAGAATCTTACTTCTATATAAGATTAGCAGATTACTCTTTCTTGACAGTGAGATACTGCTGAGGTATTACTCTGACTATTCTCACTTATAGAATAAGAGAAGAATATTCATTCATTATCTATATAGAATAGCTAGATGCTGACTCTTTATCAAAGAAGTCAGTGATTTGTTTTTTCTCTACTGAAATATATACAAGAGTTACTGTGTTTCTTATACAATTTTCTTAGTATACTAAGTATTATATCTGTGATATTCTCATAATAACTCTGTAGTCTACAAGCTTACTATTCAAGCAAGATAGTTAAGCTCACTTATATAACTTCTTAAAT